TCCCTAAACAAAAAATAACAATTTCTGCATTGTGTTCAGGTCAAAAAAATCTACCAGAATGACAAGCGCCTTGTGGCTGGTGACCACACGGTTGAGCTGCTCCTGCATGACTTCGAGAAAAATTATCACATGTATGTGTATCCTGTGCACTGGCAGTTTCATCAGCTTGATCAGCACCCTGTTGACAGGTAAAAAAAAAAAATCTTTGTGGGCTCAGTTCGGATTTGCTGTTTAAACTCGGGCTGTTTTGATTCTCTAAACCACTCAAAGGATTCTGTACATATAGAACCGGTCCCTCAGATCTTAGAAGGCAGCATCCTCCTCTTTCTAACACAGAACTTCTTCCCTCATTGTTTTCCTGCAGTAATGTCTTAGGTCAGAATTTGCTATCCTCTTGCCTTGCATAATCCTGTATCACACTGTAAATTCTACAGAATCTTAATAGCTACTAATGCCCTGAACCAGGAAGAAATCCTGTTACTACTGAAGCTAAGAGCAACAGGCTAAGTACAAAGGACAGAGTCCTGTCAGTACTAATTCACTAGTGAGGTACCCACAGTTCTCAACTACTACCACAGTTTAAGGAGCAGGTATGTAAGACAGCACCAGTGTCACAGTTCAGAGGAAGCTCACAGCTTCTGAGAACATGACCCAGATTTCAGGCTTTTGGTCATATCACTCGGTGATGGGATCCATATTTCAAAGCTCTAGGTTCTCAATACCTCACAACAATCACACCCACTGTCTTCGAACATAGCTAAGTACCTTAGCAAGCTTGATCTCCTGAGGATTAACAGCAAAACTCCGTAACTGATGAGTTTTGAGCAAGTCACTACTTGTCATACTAGTAATTACTACACAAGTAATACTTGTTCGATAAAACAAAACTTAACAAACAAATAGCAGATAAAACATTTCAGATTATTGAGTATTATATATCATCATAATGACCTGGGACAGATTCACTTCAGAAGCACCACAACAGAATCTACTGGGGTGTCTCTGATAAAGGCACTGTTGATGTCTTCTAGCAGCTTAGATCATCTTTGATAATCCTGATGATTTAATAATGAAATACAGCTCTACACACCTGCTCTTTCTTTCAGATTATTAACACACTCGGAGCTCGCACCTTTGAGAGCCTCCCTTGTTCCCATGGAACACTGCATAACCCGTTTCTTCCAGGAGTGCGATGGAGACCGAGACAAACTCATTGCATTGAAGGAATGGTGTCACTGCTTTGGGATTAAAGAAGGTAAACATAAACAAACAGGCAGATGTGCCTGATAAAATGTTCCTATCAGGACTAGGCACATTCTCAGACCACAACGTGAGGCAAAGAAATTGTAACCAGAAGCTCATGGCTACTGTGCTGAGAGGAAAATGGAACAGTAATGACAAGACTGCAAAAGGGGCAAGGTTCTACATTTTTTTTATAAAGATAGGAAAAAGGTCTGCCTCTCAAGAAACACTCTATCCTTCAGTGCCAAAGGAAAGGTTAAGTGAGCTTGCACTTTTAAACCAGTGGTCAAAGCATATTGATTGAAAATGCATTTAAAGATCTCAAGCCAGGTAGGGAAAACAACCAAGATCTTTCACCGACCAAGTAGAGATTGATTAAACTCTAGATTACGATACACAACGCAGATGCTTTCACCACACTGTAGGCTATTTCACCTAATCTGTCGCTTGCAACACGTGCCCACCAGACTACGTGCAACAGGAAGCTTAGGCAGAGGCAGGGACAATTTCCAAATCCTAAACAGGATAGGCACATGTTTGGTTCAGCTCAATCCACATTGAGACTTCTGCAGGATAGTAAAAAGTTTGGTACTACCGTGCTGGTGATATCTCCAGAATTAGGCAGCAGCTGAACAGAAGCTGTCATGATAGTAATTTGAGATTTATGAGATTACTGCACTCAACATAAGGTATTCTTTCACAATCTACCTTCTTCTGATCTAGCCCTGAGTGATAGCTGGACAATACTGCCAGCCACTAAGCAAGGGTTAAACAGGTTAATCCCAGAGGAGTTATGTGACAGAAGGCATTTGGCTAAATATTAGGACTGAATACGTGTTCAAAATCCTACTAGTAAGTCCCTAATTTTAAGTGGAGGCTGATTCTGGTCAGAGGTCAGGTACACAAAGGCTTCACTGTTCCCAGAATTTTTCCAGCTCTTCTGATGACAATTTAGCAGTCACAATACACAGGTGGAAAAAAGCTGCAAGAACTTATCTTAATACACATATACTGTTGCCAGTGTTTGCTCATTCACAGGGTCAGTCATTTGTGAAGAGGGAGGTGGAAGGCATTCTTGGCTCACAAATAGATCAAGGAGACCTAACACTAGAAACAATAAAGCACCATCAAGAAGGGTCTAAATGAATGGCTCCTGAGTATGACAGCAGCAACCATACTTGTTTTTTGTCAGGGACAGTGTTCCCCTACATGAGTCCTCTGAAACTTTAGTGTACCAATTTATTGATAGTGATACAGCACAAAAATGCCTTTTTGGCATAAAATGTCAACAATGCTTTCTTCTTCTTTGTTGCAGAAGACATAAATGAAAATCTCCTTTTCTGAGCCTGGCTGAACAGATTCCCAGTGCTGCACTAAAACTGGTGAAATATGTGAACCCTGTCTATCTCTGTTACTAACAGCTTCATAGCTTTCAAGACAAATGTGGTGTAAGGTTCACTGCATTCTTATCAAATAACACAAGTGCAGAAGATTTCTACATTCATTAACAGCAGAAAGATTTAACTACTCCAACTGGCTCATAGCTAAACAACCAGTGTTTGCCCCTGTATGTATCCACGATCTCTCTGAAACAATAAATAGTACTAACCTAAAGACTGACCTGTTCACAAAACTCTTCAGTAGAATTATAGAATTTAGATTTTACCATACACTGAAATGGGACTTGTTTCCTTTATTTACTGTATTGTCAGCTTAACATTCTGCATAGAAGTCTCAAATAAAATGTCTACCTAGATACATGGTTTTTGTCAGAACTTTGTTAAAGAAAAAGTACCAAGGCAGTGGAAAGGTTCAATGAAAACTTCATTTCAGACATAAAGGAGGAGAAGAAATGGTAGATCATACACACCAATCCTGAACCCAAAATTCAGTAAAGAAGATCAGCACTTTTCAGATACTTCTTCCCCTACCTCTTGAAGCACAACAGTAATAGTACCAATGACACACAGCAGAACTCCTGCTGACAAACTCTGTATGAGCATGGTGAGTGTGGATGCATATCAAGACTGCTTAGCAACACATCCGCCACCACAAGCAGCAGAGGATATCACAGCTCCAACACCTCCTTATTCTCCTTAGCAGACACATTCTTCCTTCATCCCCAAGAAGCACCAACTAGTGCTACCATTTTTTTTTCCAAGGAAAAATGCTAACTATGTCTTTCACCATCTCCCATCTTTTGCTGGCCTCAAGAGAGGCACAACTGAAGCATAAAAAAATCAGGACAGGATGAGATTATTCCTGAATCCCATCAACTCTGTGATTTTATTTTTAAGCACTTCACTGAAAACACTCCAATCAAGCTCTGCTTTAACAAAGAAGCCCCAAGTGCTATTCCTACAAAGGAAGGTCAGAAAACACATTTCACCTGAACCATGTCACCTTTCCAATGAAAAGAATATGGGATTCAGAAATGCTATTTTGGTAGCTTAAATAGTGGAAGTCCCCAAGCTACGATTATATTTAACACAGGAACTTAACAAACCAAGGGTTATTTCCCAGCGAAACCAGTTCCATTGACACTTTTTCCAAGAGCCTGACTTGTTGCTCACTTCACATTCTGTAACAACACACAGAAGTGTATATAAAACAACCTGGATTTCATGTACAAAAGCATATTCTTGGTGTCAATTCCATTTGGAAAAGACCCTTTCACTGGGACAGCAAATGTCATGGGGAAAAAGTAGTTTTGACTGCACTTTTTCTGCCTGACTGCAGCCTGTTGCTTATTTGCTCTTTCTGCAGCCAAGACTCAGCCACCTTAAAACAATCAAATAGAGTTCACACAAAGATAAATCACAAGAGATTGACCTACTCACCACTGCTCCACTCAAACCAAGTATCAGAAAAAGATACAGTGAAATTGTACAAAATTTTCCCCAGATACATGTGTTACACTTACTAGTAAAACGATCACTAAACAGAAGGATCAAGCAAGCACCACAGTTGAAAACTTATTTGCAATAGCTATTTTCAAGAACTCTTTCACTAGCTTTTTGTTTAATCTGCACAGAGTTGGATGGCAGAAAGCACAGCTCTCAAACTGCAAGTACACTGCTGGTACACAGCTGGATTAAACAGGTAGCCGTAACTTTAATTCACAAGATCCCACTTCTTCTGGAAAAAGAAAGTATGTACACTGCATCTCACTCAGCAGCTTCAGTACTCTAGGTATTATCACCTGAGTACTCCTCCAGCATCATTAAAGTGCAAAACATTACAGTCAGAATAACTATGTTGAAAAAACCCCACCACAAATATTCCTTTTATAAGACACACACTTCCATTGCCCAGTCTTTCTTAAGAAAAGATAAAGACAACTAACAGCAATTACTCACTGATAAAAACACAGGGAGAAACATCAGCAACTGTTGTGCTGCTCCTGGTAGCAGCATAAATGCCATAGAAGGCCCACATCAGCCTGCAACTTACATTACCTAAAGGCTTAAAAACCCAGCACAATTCACAAGATTATACCTTAAGGCTGCTCTTTCCAACGATTCTGTTTATGGTACAGTCTCCCCAACAGCTGTACTGCCATAAACAGTGGGAAGAGGGACCTTAAAATCCAGCTCTCCAAATCAGTCATCAAGTTTCATCCTTCAACAGTTACCTTTTTACACAGGGGCACTGTCACACATTCAGATGTGAATACCATCCATACCACAAAGAGTAATTAAACGTGAAAACCAATCTCTCAAAATGGAAAATCACTGTAAAGACATGTCAAGTGAAACGATTCAAAAAAGAAACTTCACTTTATTATGTAGCACTTAAATTAAGTCATTTTCCAGGTTATCCTACAAGTCTCACATCCCTTAAGGATTCATTCCTGACAAGGAATCAGTGCAAAAATACAGAACTAAAGTGAACAGCTTCTGAACTACCACCAGTCAGAATCCCAGTGTGGCTGTGTAGATCTGCAGATATGATGAAACAGCTGCAAATAACGAAGACAAGGAAGCAAAGCAAGGTCAGAACTCCTCCTTCATCTCATTTCACACTAGCTAAGAAATCAAAGAAGCAATCTCAAGTCTCTGAAAAACCTTCTATTTATCACTGTCCATTGTTTTTTCCAGCTGAATTTCATGGAATTTTCACTGAATTTCTTCTCAAAATGACAATGACATCTGTTTCAAGGCTGGAAAACATATTCTTCTCTTGATGTCTGTCAGTTCCTCATTGACATCACTCATGGCACTCAGGTCCAGGATCCTCACTCCAGTGGGCTCCCCGTTTCTCAGTCACAAGCTTAATGAAGTAGCTATGACTTGCATAAAGCTCAAGCTTCTCACTGATGTCAATCCACTTCACTACTCCAGCATCATCACCTGCTTCCAGAGGCAAATTATCCATTGTCTCACCTGTTCACAAAAAAAGAGTTAGGACATGCTATTGTATCTTTTCTTCTTGCTTTTTCTTCTCAAATCTTATCAGTTCCCTCTTCCACAATGCTCCTTCACAGGCAGCAACCTTCAACTTCTTCTCAGAGAAAAAAGAAATGTCGCTCACTGATTCTGTGCCAGAAACCTTTCTCATACTTGTACTATTTTAAGGCAAATCTGAGGCAGAGGTGGTGGTAAGTCCTTGTCACCACTCGTAGGGTACCATCAGCAGCTCGAAAAGTTACTGGAAATCATCAGGACAACACATACTCACTACCCTAAGTTTAGCCAATTCCTCTGCCTTGATTTTTGTTTGTTTGCCTAACATTTGACTGCTGCTTTTCTCAGGTATTATTCTACATGAAAAACTGAATTCTGAAACATATATGCACTTATGAAAAAACAGAATAACTAAAACTTTACTAAAGGCCCCAAAATCAAAAATACTACTTAAGAAGAGATGCAGAAAGGCTTCTGAAATGCTCCAAGTTTTTACTCTGTTTCTAAAAAAGGAGTCCCAGGACTTCATAGACAACAACCAAGAAAATGCTTTTAAATTCTGCATTAGAAACAAAGACCAAAGATATAGGATTTCACCCATTTCTGGGGGCTGATAAATCAAGGACCAGAGACATGTGAAACTTCACAGCTGGTATCTACTACTCAAAATTCAGTGGAAATGTCACTATATGAAGTCTCTGACTTAACAAGTCAGAAACACCTGACCAGATTGATGTATCATGCAGGTGAAAAATGAGAGTCCAAGATAACAGATCATTCTAAGAATCTAGTCCCACATTTTACACCTGACTTGCATGTTCCCCAATTTCACTGCCATTCTCAGCTCAACATAGGTCCCAATTTCAAACAAGTATATGAAGTAAAAGGCAACTAAGAGCATACATGGAGATACTCACCTGTTTCATCATGATAGTTCACAGCCTCTGTCTCCATCCAGGCATTATCAGTGTTACGAGGGTCATCCACATATCCTCGGTACACCTAAGGCCCCAAACAAACCAAAATAAGCTCAGCATCACAACAAACAAGGTGGAATCACTAAGATTTTTTTCCTTTCCTCTGACACATTTGCCCTTACAGTGTGTTTTCAACAGTCCCTTCCATTTCCTACACCATGAGAACCTGAGCAACATAACTTATTTTCGTTTCAGCTACACTTTCTCAAGTTCCATAACCTGAGTTACATGCATTGCTCAAGGGGCTATCACAAGAGATCCAGAGCTCACCACAAAGTGTTCCTGGCTGAACAGCTTGTGGAGCTGCTTCTCCAATTTTGCTTTCTCCTCGGGTGATTTCTGCAAAGAGTTCAAGGCCTCCTCCCCAAATTCCCGCCTCAGGGTAGCGCTGATCTTCTCCCCTGGGTCCACCATCCCCTTAGAGGGAGAAAAAGAAAAAAGGTGATTTTTTTCAATCCCTCAGATTTCACTTGCTGTAACTCCCAGCTCTTAGTATATTACATCCACCTGCATCATACTCTGGACACGGGAGGAACTTTACAGTCAGCTGTAAAGATCAAGCACATATGTCCTTCAAAACCTGCAGTGGAATCAACTGTGCCTGCATTGAGCAAGACATGGGTAGATTTAAACAGGAATACCACTTTGCAATGCAGAAACATCAGAAGGCATGCCAGCTGATGCCTGGGCAAAGTTAGTTCAAGGAGCATTTCTCCTCACTACTGCAACACCAGGTCATTCATCAAAAAGCATTCTTCTATCAAACACATGCCAGTTATTGCCTCATGGCCTCACCAGTGGGGGGAGATGTCAATGTCTCTGGAGCTTTGCCCTTACCCCTGGAATGGCCCACTCCCCACAGTCTCTCCTCTTGATAGCCACGAACTGCAAGATGTTTTTGCCAGTAACTGGATGAGCAACTTTATTGCCGCTTCCGTCCCTTTTCCACCTGTAGCAAATGACAAGGGCACAAACACCCACCACTGCCTTCAGTAAAGGATTAAGAACCACCAGTAGTTAAAGCGAAAAGCTATCCAAACAAAAACTAAAACAAAAGCAGCATGTCCTTGACTTTCAAGGAAGCAACTTGGTAGCAATGGCATCATTCTGAAAAGGGGAAGAACTAAAATGTACCAGGATGATTTTTCACAACGGTTCTACCTTCAGCATGGCACATCCTAACTTGCACCTTTGTTAGCTACACAGTCTTTTCTGAATGCTTTGTGTACACACAGATCCTGCTGGCAAAAGTACATTAAAACAAAGCACATGCTGAGCAAAAGAGGATCTTAACCACACATCTTCCTATAATATACTAAGTCAAGTTACTGTTTCTTACATAAAAAAAGCAGGCATGTAGCTTTTTATTCTTTTTTTTTTTGCAATTGTGTCATTATGACAGAAAAACCTATTCTTGCAATTTAATTTCACATGCCTCATTTAAGGCCTTTTGGCAGTATAGTATCAAAGCATCACATAATCCTTTCAGTTCTTATATTTGTTTCCGAAGATTCTATACATAATGTATTTCCATTGAATTATGCTTCCT